AAAACGATGACTCTAACTCGCTGGTTTGTTTGCAGTGGCTCTGTCAGCACATGGACTTCTGCAGCCGACCGGGGCAGGAATAAACCTGGTGGGTCTGTACTGTCATCTCTGTATCCCCCGCTGTCTGTTGGGACCAGCATTATCAACGTGTTAATCAGAGGTTAAAGCCGTACGACATGAAACCAAGTCTGTTAGTGTTAAAACAGACCGTGCTCCTAGGAGCTGCTGTAACAGTGACCTCTGAGCTGACTGCACATCTGGTTTATGTCAGTCTGTAAAACCAGGCCCAGTCTGTTAAAGTGAGGCTCAGATCAGTGAAAGGTTCAGTGAAACACACGTTCAGACTAATAGCTGTCGCAGGTTGGCAATAACCAGCTCAGGTGTTGGCTGAGGAGCGAAGCCTGAAACTGAAACAGGTCGACAACAAGAAAACAAACGTGTGAGTGTGACCAGTGGGAGGAGACAGTCTGCAGGGAGCCGACACCTGAGGGACAGGCTGGTCACAGTGAGTCACAGTGAGTCACAGCTCAGCTACTGGATCTGTGGCTCGGTTTAATCCCACTGATCCTCCAACTGGATGAAGAGGAGCTGCCTGAGCAGCAGGGAGTCACACTGAGGTCGCCAGAGAGGGAAAGTGCTCCCACACTCGAGCCTGATACACGTGTGCTCAGCAGCTCCACCGTGCACACACAGAGCTGCAACCGCAGGCTGGTCAACAGAAAGTTTATCTGTCCCAACAATCCATTTGCCATTTGAGCCTTTGTCCAAGGGGAAACACCTGCAACACAAACCTCTGGGTTTGGACCATGAAAGGAAGCAGCCAGTGATTTAGTCCGTTTGTCTTTCTTCCTCAGGAAACGTGAGGCCCGTCTGTTTCCAGCAAACAGAGCACGGCCTCACTGTGCACAGCGTGCTCTGCTAGCTGCTGTCGGTGGACAACAGTGGAGGTCTACGACACAGAGCGATAAGCTGAACCAGGGTCTGGACTCACATGTTCATCGTTGCTTCTAGTATCTGGATGGGACTTGTGCACAGTGACAACAGAGCCAATCAGTTATCCTCTACACTGACAGCAATCAGCAGCTGCACCTGGACAGGACCCAGACCCAGACAGGATGGACACTGACAGCAATCAGCTGCTGCACTTGGACAGGACCCAGACCCAGACAGGATGTGGACAGAACCTGGACAGGACGTGGACAGCACGTCTCCTGTCAGCACATTAACAGACAGGAGACATGCTGTGAAACACCCTTAAAACAGACGCTAACCACCAGTGACTGACACTGCTGCTGTTTACATTAAGGCACAATGGGCCATTTTACTGTGGGGTGAGGATAAAGAGCAGCAGTGTGCTACAGCCAACAAAGGCCACGATGTCCAACACTGACATGTCCACCAGTTAAAGTGAGGCTGGACACTGGGGTATCTCTGGATGTCTGCACTGTCAAAGCTGAACCTGTTTCTGTGTCTGTCTGTCTGTCTTGGGGTCAACCTGACAGTCCAGTGAGGCTCAGGGAACATGTGGCTCTGCTCTGACGTGAACATCCAGTGACCTACAGTCAGCTCTTCACTCAAACCTGTGGATGAAGAGGAGTGATTATCAAACAACAGGAGAAGAATAATGCACAGAAGACAAACAGTTTAGTCTGCTCTGCTCTGCGGAGCCCGAACTCACCATCAACACGCTGCAGCCATAAATATCATGTCCATAAAAGGCCAGACAAACCACGCTGCTCTCTGCCAGGAACTGAGACGTCTCTGTACAGAGACACGTGTCTGTGCACTCAGACACTGGGTTGACCTGCAGGTAGATCCAGCACAGCGTGCCGTTGTCCCAGCTGCAGACGGACTTGGAGACAAGTGTTTGAAGCGATTCATGTCAGTGGGTTTGGGAAGGAGCGGTTCGACCCAACACACACTGTGTTTGGTCCTCGAGTCTCTATAACAGAGTGCAGGGTTAGCACGACCCACAGCGCTGCCTCCTGCACTCGTCACACTTTACAGACTGGGAACCAGATGCAGCCGTCAGAGCCCCGTTGTTTATGGTCACCTCCTTCTCCACCTGTATCCACTTCCCTAATCCAACACACCCGTTTCCCTGCTCTGAGTGCAGCTGAGCTCCAACTATAAAACATCAGAGAGAAACTTGGGACTTCACATGAATGAATGACGCGGTGAGGAAACTGAACCGAGCTGCTTCCACTGAAGCAGAAAGTGCACTCTGTGAGGAACCTGTGTCTTATCAGGCCCTCAGATGTGACTCGGCCATAAACTGACTCATTAAACCTCAACGCTGGAATCACACACAGACTCTGTCGTCACATCCAGGCTCAGACGCCAACACAAGCCAGTGTTTCCTGCCAGTTTCTGTCTGGGTTTACTACATGGCACAGTCCTCTGGCTTGGCGTTACACAGCACCAACTAATCGTTTTCCTTGGTCAAACCTTTAAAAAGCCTAAAACTCACTGCTGCAACCAGGAGCTTCGAAGTCCACCTGAGCACGGCCGGGCATCTGTTCTGTCTGTGTCTTAGATCTGACTTGATTCTCTGCAGCACTTTTTAAAATGAGGCGGTTCAGTCAGGTGCCAGGTTACATACACATTTATAGGAGTGACACCCAAATCCTCGGTTTACACAAGCACATGAACCCCCCCCCACACACACACACACACACAAAGCCAAACTGTTGCTGACTCATCCTTTGCTCCTAATTGATCATTCCAGCTCTAAAAGCCTGTTTCACAGCTCCACATTAAAAACACTGAATCACTTCTTTACATTATTTAATCACATAGTGTGATTTCTACATGGAAACCCAGCGTCTGACTGTGGATCACACTCTCTCTCTCTCTCTGGGTGTGAAAACGCACCAAACTCCCAGAGCCACTACAGGAGCCCGGCCCTCTGGGAGCCCGTGTGCATTAGTGTAATCACAGGTCTACATCCTGGACCACAGTACCACATTGAGGCTTCAGTACGCCACCATAAAAGCTAAAAACCTGAGAGGCTCGTGCTGAATGACTCAGACAGGAAGTAATCCACAGAGACAGGGACAGGCTCTTTGAGCAGGAGCAGAGGCAGAAGAGGCAAGAGCACATCTGTACCTAAATGAAATAAGTCAGACGGGTATACCGTAAGAGCAGAGCAGGTGTAGGAACAGCTGAGACAGCGCCAGTCATGTCTGTAAAACCAGCTGAGCTACACGACTGTTTCCACCGACATTTATCTTTGGCAGTGAGGATGAACCTCGGGGCACTGATCCACTGCTCAGTGACATGAGGACGCCGCCTGAAGCTCAGGCAAAGCCTAAATAAGGAAGATCCTTCTAGCCAGGATTCATGCTTCACTCCTGCTCCACCTTTACTCTCCCTCGGTTCCCCACACTGTCAAATTCACCTTCACTCATCTGTCGTCTTCTGGCCGGTGACCGTCCTCCCCGTGTTTCTCCAGCTGACCCGTTTGTCAGTCTGTCCTTAAATATCACCTGTTTCTGCCATAGTGCCTTCCAGACCTGCAGCGACACAACCCACCTCCACCTCCTTCAGTGGTCAAATCAGTAAACTTTGTTTTAGTCTCTGTTGAGCTGCCACATGTTCTAGCATCAAAACAAACAGTGCAGAGACATTTCTGCTGACAAAGCCAAAAACAGGCAGTTAGCCAGGCTAAGCCTCAGCCAAGCTAAGCCAAGCTAAGCTAAGCTAAGCTAAGCCAAGCTAAGCTAAGCTAAGCTAAGCTAACCAACCAGCTGCTGAGCTTCTCATGTACTGTACAGACAAGAGCAGGATCAGTCTGAACGTCTGAGTCTCAGAAAGATAAAGAAACAAGTGAAGTAAATTAAATAAGACAAAGAGCAGCAGGAGTCCTCTGCACAGCTTCAGCTTCACGAGTCTGAGCTCCACATCAGGTCTGTAGAGAAAAGCTGGAAGCTGCAGACACATTAACGTGTCCAGAACCCAGTAACCTGTGGTTGAAGCTGTTAGCATCTGACAGATGCCTCCACATCATATCACGTTACAGAGCTACCAGCCAGAGGCGCACAGACAGCAGGTCAGGCCGTGGCTCTGAGGACCCTGGTCTATAGCTGACCTAATACCCCCCGCCCCCTCTGACCGAGCTTCTGACTGTAAAAGTATGAAGTCATCTGGCTGCAGCTGGTTAATGGGTGATGCAGACGTTCCTCTAGGTTCATCTCACTCTGTTACAGTAGCGTGGAGAGGAAAACAGAGCTGAGCACACAGAGACGACCAGGACCACAGTGCAGCGAGGTGCAGCTTTCAGCTCTCTGTGCTTCATCACACAGTCCCAGGCTGCTCCTGGTTTCTTTACACACAGCTGACTGATCACGTGACCTGCACATCACCATGGAGACCAAGAAAACAGAACAACACCAGCATCATCTTTTTTACAAGACAAATCATTCAGCCTGACAGGAAACACACTCTCCTCCCTCAGCGAGGCTGCAGCTCCTCTTCCTGCCAGAAACATTCAGCTGCTGATTTCAGTCTCCACTCACTGGTTAGCGTTACCGTGTCACAGCTTCCTAAAGCTCTGTGGTCTGAATGACCTTTCCTCCTACCAACTGTTAGGAACCCAAAGACATCAGAGCTGTACTCAGGTCAACATGAACAACTGGGAAACGAGCAGCAACACAAGTCTGGAGATGGAGCCGACTCTTTTACTACACTAGTCAAATGCAAACTCATCTTTGTGGAGGAAAATATCTATCACAGTAAAGCTGCAACAAAAAGAGGGAAAAAGAAAATGAAAGTGCAGGAAGAGGAAACAGCCCAGAGATGTGCTGACTCGTCAATAAACCTAAGTACTGATTTGTAGTGTATTACCTGTATATTACATAAGATGTGTTATACTGCTGGTGTCTATGACGTGCACATCAGCGGGCTGTTTATAAAGAGGCCACAAACAGGCTCAGACTTGCTGCTGTACCCTGACAGCTGGAAACATCTGGTGAACTGTGAAGGAATGACAGAGGATTTACCTGGAAAGGCGTGTGGGCTGGACGACCCTCTCTTGAGGCACTTGGAGCAGAGGATATGTACCGAGTAGTGCAGGCCAGGCCACTCCTGCAGCAGCACATTCAGCTCCTCCACCAGCGGGGTGATGGCCTGCCATGCGGTCCAGATGTTGGGCAGCGAGGCGTGGCTGGCGATGGATAGTGTCTCTGTCTGCAGATTCCCTCTGGACGGCTGGTGACTGATGACCACGGGGACTTTACCTCGATATGCCAGGATCTGACGCCTGCCGTCCGACCTCTGGACCACGTGGCTGTTGATCTGCACACTGAAGCGGGAGAACAGCCCGGGAGGAAACAGGAAGGGGAAGCTGTACTGGATGTGCAGCTGCTCCACAGAGAAGGCGTGACAATGGGGCAGACAGCTCCCATCGGCCGAGGCCTCCGCCCGGAGCTCCTCGTTGCTGACGTAGCTGGGGAACTTGTACCACGCCGTGGCTCCATTCAGAGGCTTGCTACGGGGTTTGTTGATGCAGTAGCAGATGCCCATCTTCTCCAGCAGCTCCATGACGAGGTGCAGGTCCTGCTGGGTCTGGATGAGTGGCCTGAGGAGCAGGCGGATGATGTTGGAGGGCAAAAGGCCGTGCTGGAGGAATCCCTCCACATGGTGCTGAAGATGGTTCACCCTGAGGTTCTCACCCTTCTCGTCCTCTATAACCAGACTGACCCTGCTTTTGTCCCCCCTCTCCCCCTCAGCCAGCAGCCGGTCCAGCAGAGTGGACTCATCCCTCTGGAAGAAGACATTAAGGATTGCAATGAAACGTGGCAGGTTGTGAAACACATACTCCTTCAGGGTGAGGCTGTCCTCAAAGTAGAGCAGCTTCCCGCTCTCATGCAGGTAGGATAAGGCGCTCTGTAGTCGGTCCTCTGTGAGCCCCACCTGGAGGCCCAGACGGGCCGAGTCCCACCAGGAGAGCCACAGGTCTTTGGGCTTAAAGTGCAACTCCTCCAACATCTGCCAGGACTTTGGCAGCACACGGTGGAGGTTGGGGAAGATCTCCCTGTGGTCTGCGACAGACATGAGCTTCTCCCTCAATCTCTGGATGTTCATCTGGTTCTCGGTGCAACTGACACTCAAGACTGGAGACAGGATCTGCAGCCGGTGGTTCAGCATGTACTGCAGCTGAGCTTTCCTGCGCCTCAGGTTCCTGTCTGAGACTCCGTAGAAAAGGACGTGGGGGCTGGAGGTGCGGACGTTGTAGCCCTGCTCCAGTGCCTGGTCCACCTGCAGAGCCAGGTTCCTCAGGGTCCGCCTGTCCTTCTTCTCCTGCAGACCGATCTGTCTGTGGATGTCCAGACTCTTCTCCTCCAGCTCCGCCTCCTCACACAGGTCTGTGTGTGTGCCCACCAAGCACACAACAGTATGGGGCACTTTGGCAGCGAGGAGGTGCAGGAAATACCCGACATGGGCGTAAAAGTTTTTGGGAGAATATGTTTTGAGATTGACAACAAGGATGTAGAGAGCACCGGGGGACAGGAAAAAGGGTTTGATGAGGTCATAGTTTTGCTTCCCTGACAAGTCGTACACTAGAAATGTGAGACAGCGCTCAGCATCTGCCACCCAGTTAGTGACTTCGATTCCTCCGTTTCCCTTGATCCCTTGGGCCTCCTGCTGACTGCCAACCACGCTCTGCCTCAGCCGGGTTTTCCCAGCGCTCTGCATTCCCATCAGGACCAGTTTCAGTCGCGGCTTTACAGCAAGCTGTGAATGTGCGAGCTCCTTCTGATAGGCTGCGATGTAAGGGATCCCCTTCATACACACCTCATATGGAGGCTGGATGAGAGGGTTGTCCTTCACCTTCCAGATGTTCACATTGGACAGCTTTCCAAAGTTATCTGGAAGTATGGCTATTTGGTTACCCTGTAAAACAAGCTCCTCCAACTTGTCCAGCTCCACGACAGAGTCAGGCAGAAAGCTGATGCTGTTATTATCCAGCCAGAGGTTCGCCAGCTTCCCCAGCTGCCCGATGCCCTCTGGAATATGAGTCAGTTTATTCCTGCTTAGGTAGAGTTCCTCTAATCCTGTGATGCTTAAAATCACATGGGGGAAGTTCTCAAACTCATTAGAGGACAAATTGATCATTTTGAGTCTTTGTAGGTTTCCAAACGAAGGCGGAAGCGCTGTGAGGTTGTTCCCGTCCAGCATCAGGCTCTCCAGGTTGTGCAGGTGACAGAATGTGTCAGGTAATGTGGACATGTGGAGACAGCTGAGCCACAGGATTTTGATGGACTGCAGCTTCATGACGTCTGCTGGTAACACCTCAAACTTGTTCCCGGAGCAGTCGAGTTCCTCCAGCTCGCTGAGGGCCAGGATCTCAGGGGGGAACTGGTTCAGCTTGTTGTGATCTGCATCCAGAGTGCGCAGCCTGGCGAGGCTGGAGAAAGTCCTGGGCAGGTTGTGCAGATCGTTGAAACTAATGTCCAGTTCCTCCAAAAACTGAAGTGCTCCAATCTGAGCTGGCAGATACTGGATTTTGTTGTGACTGATGCATAGCTTCTTCAGCCCCTTCAGGTGGCCCACACCTTCGGGGAGGCTTCTCAGGCAGTTGTGGCTCATGTCCAGCTCCACCAGCTGCCCCAGTTCAAACACCACCAGGGGGACAAAGGTGAACTTATTCCTGCGAAGGATGAGGATGCGCAGGTTGTTGAGGGCGGCCCCCAGCCCGTCGGGTAGCTCCTGCAGGGAGTTGTTGCCCAGATTGAGCACCTCTATCTCTGCTATATCCTCAGGCAGTATGATCTGGTTGTTTTTGGAGCAGAGGGTGAGCTGGCGCAGGTTGCTCCGCAGCTTCCTGGAGCGCAGGGCGGCGTCCCTCCACAACCTGGCCGTTTTCAGATTGTTCTCCTTGTCCTCCATGGCGTTACAGCCCGACCCCTCCTCCTCCTCCTCCTCCTCGTCGTCGTCCTTGTTTTCATTGAGAGTTTTCATGGCTCCGGAGCGGCCAGCATGGTGGAGGGGGTCCTGCATAGATCAGCACGCTCATCAACAATAAACCCTCCGTCAGGCACGGCAGAAAGGCCAGGTTCTGTCGAGAAATGATCGAGCTTTTCAACGGGACCAGACGGAGTGTGTGTGTCCGCGGAAGCATCCTTTTCTCCTGCGCCACTCAGCGCACAATGAAAGCAAACCACCGTCGTCACTGCTCCGCGTCTAATCCCAAACCAGAGGTCCGGTGCGTTTCGGTCATCACCGGCGTCCCCATCGCCACAGAGCCCGTCCTCTGGATGCTGGTTTGTGGATCGATCCGCGGGTTTCTGGGGGCTTTCCGAGCAGCTCCGTGTATTCCTGGCAGTGCAGAGTGGAAACGAGGCGGCAGCAGCTCACACTGCGTCAGATCTGTGCACACTGCTCCTCCCTTCCTCCGCCCTTTCTCCTCTTCCTCCTCCTCTCTCCTCCGTCTGGCACTGCGGTCACGCCAGGCGCTGCACGGCTGAATTCATGGGAAGTTTGTGGTAGTGTCATAGAAACGGCTCCGAGGCTGCTGGAGCTCAGTGCGCACGTCTCTGCTCCTCAGATCAGCTTTATGTGCTCGCTGGAGTAGGAGAGGGACGAGGTGACAGCTCCACGTCCGGCGGTGGACAGCTCCATAGCCCGCTGCACTGGCTCCTCATCCCTTCTGCTGTTTTATTTAGGCTGCCTCCCATATAAACTGTCATTATTAAAGTTAGTGCACAGAAAGAGTCGCCGCCAACATCCGGGTTTCAACATAACGACAGCGTCTTTCATTTGGAACATTACACGTCTTCGTCACAGTAAGTTGATGATATAATGAACAGACAAGTGATTCATGTGCAGTAAATACAGACCAATGGAAAACAGAACGATTTACACGATAAAGCAGGAAAATATAAGGCAGCTGTTCACTGATTGGCCAGAGGGAGGACTCTGTCTCCACCTGGTGGTCATGACGTGGAGGTACGTTTCCCACACAACACTAAGCCTGAGGCACAAGCAGAAAAGCAGCAAGTGGAAGAGAAAAATAACTAAACATTAACAGTGACAATAAAGTGTTGTACTTTAATCAGTAGAATACTTTACAAACCATACTTAGTACAGTATAATACAACATCTACTCCATCACCCTGTACAAATAATATCACATTTACCAGGTTTATGTCTCTGAAGACTTTGGTAGTGACTGATATGACGTATTCTGATTTTTCATACATCAGCAAAACAGTCTACAAACATTTTCACGTTGTCCTTTGGATTCTTCAGTGTAAACACAAATATCAGCATCAGCTACTTCAAATTCAACTTGACTGTGCAAACAGTGGTGTGAAATCTTTCTGAAGTGATTGTACGGCCTCAGTCTCTGTGGGCCGTGCCAAAGGTTGATCAGGACGTTTCTCTGGAAAAACCAGCTGCTCCAGATTAATAAAACCCATTCAGTGGAGGTGAACACAGAAATCTGTCCAAAGATCCAACATGCGTCTGTTTGTTTTTGTTACCTGTGACCTGCAGCTTCAGAAACAACCTGAAACATATTCTGAAATATGTCACGAAATCACATGAAAAACGGGTTTTTCACCTTTTGCATGTGAACAATAGTGTGAAATGTGATTCACACATGATCAGTGCAGAGTTCTTTGTAACGTGAACGACTCTGGTTGATGTGACCTGGTCACCTCCACCTGACCACTTTACCGGCCTTGCTCTTCCGTAGAGGGCAGATGGCAGCTGGACGCCCACCGTTCACTCATATTACAAGTGAACCTGTACATGGTTCATCTGCTCATCTGAGTCCTAACGCTAAGGCCACAGGAGCAGAGACACTGTGACACTCGTCTGTACAAGAACGAGACCAGGATGGGTTTGGACTTTAACAACAGAAAACCTGATACAAAAAAATGCCAAAAGTGAGCTGATGTTAACTTTATTCTGCTAAAATAAGAAACTGTTGACACATAGGGAACATTTATAGTGGCCTGGGCAGCTGCACACAGTCCTGATCCAGTTTACTGTAGATGTACAGTGTAGATGCACACACAGTCCTGATCCAGTTTACTGTAATCCAGTTTACTGTAGTGTAGATGCACACACAGTCCTGATCCAGTTTACTGTAGATGTACAATGATCATATACTTGGAACCAACGTGAGCAGCCCAGGGATGAGGGGCCCTGCAGGAGCAGCCCCCTGCTGCTTCCTCTGGCGCCGTGGTAAATCAGACTACACCTGTGAATACTGCAGTAACACACACCCATGGAGTTTTCATGTGGCTGTGGAGCCCACACATCAGCTGCTGGTTGGCTGAGACGACATGAGGGTCCCACATTCATGCTGCACTCAGGATGAGCTGTAGTCACTGTGGTGATGCTCCAACTCTCTCTAGCGCCACCATCGGGTTCTGTCATGGACACAGCTCAGTGAACTCCACCTACACCAGAGTCGTGTCCTGATTCAACCCAGATTTAAGGCGACAGAAGAATTCACTGGTTAAAACTGCTTCCCCCCCAAACTCCTTTATCACCGAGTACTGTCGTGGTATTAAAGAGATGTGAGCTCTAGCTAGTTGGTACATGTGAGGCTTGTGAGTGTAACCTGTACAAATAAAGCCAGAAATGTTCTGTTGAACCAGGAGCTCACCCAGGACACTGCTGCAGGACTTGACCTTCATGAAGAAGATGAACGACACATTACAAGTTAAAATATCCGACTTTATTGACCAGCATTTCTTCAATCACAAACATCCATTCAGACATTAAATACCTGCATGCAGACACATCCCAAATCCACACCCGGTGAAAACCCCAACAACACGACCAGTGTGGTTCTTCTTCAGTGGCTTTGTGTGCAAACGTGGCAGGTTAAAACACTGAAACATGAGGAGCTGATAAAAACCAGGACTCACCAGACTAAAATAGGGGGTGAGTCCTGCACGGCCTCTCACTGTGTGACAGGCTCCTACAAGTCTTCTGGGTCACATTTCTAAAATTAATAAAATCTACATGAATTGCACGTTGTTTGTAAGTGAGCAGCTGCTAGAGGCTGATGGCCAGACTGCCAGGCCCGACTGTGACAGAGGAACTCGGTCATGTTGGGCAATCACCTGAACCAGCAGCTCCTGTCAATCATTAAGCCGCCAGGTTGGGCTGAGGCTGCACGCCCACTGGTCCCACCAGCAGCCCAATGGTTCGCTAGCTGAGTAATTATTCCTGTACAGTGTTGTTCAAGTGTATTTCATACAAAAATGCCTAACATTTATTTTCTGATTTCTCGTCACAGCGAACTGAGCGTCTCTGGCTTTTGCACCGGAGGCCAAACTATGACTAACAGCAGCCTGGACACTCTCAGTCTGCAGGGTCCGGCCACCTGACCCCGTCTCCTAGGCAACCCCGTTTACACTGTGATTAACAATAGTTCATTGTGAGGATGAACTCAGTGACGACGTGTTTCCCACAGCAGTGACGTGAAGCCCCCCCCCCAGACCACCCTCACCTCCAAGATGTGTGTATGACACTAGACAAAACAAAACCCTGGCAACAGCTGTGTTTCCCACCTATGTAACAGTGAAAATGCAGTCGGAGAGAATGACCTGGACCTAAAGCTGACTGGGGCGGTGCCCCGGTGCATTGTGGGACAGCGAGGGCTGCACAGGACACAGTGTGATGTCTCCTTATACATGAGACAACTCAAAGGAAAAAACAGTGTGAAGATGAACTGACAGTGAAACATGAAACAGCTGTTGGTGCAGCTCCGGTCCAACGGACCAGGTGGAGCATTTAAATCCCCACGTGCCCCCCACCCGACCCCACCCCACTAAAACCAGATGTTTAAAACTGACGAGTCTGCAGGTGAGTGACAACCCAACACGAGTTCTGACTGTGGACCTTCTGGTGACAGCCCTGAGGAAGCCGCCTGCTCCGACAGGCTCAGTAGTACGGGCCGATGTTCTCATAACCGGCATAGCTCGGCCAATCGGGGAACAGCCCGTGTGAACAGGTGGGGCTGCCGTATCGGTCGAAGTGAATCTCAAAGTCCAAGGCGTCAGCGCGGCGGCTGGAGGCATCCTGGTGGCTCCTCTTCATGGAGGACCAGATGATCCTGTAGTTGCTACCCTGGTTGCTGTCCCAGTGCTCGCAGCCGCCCACCTCGTAGCAGATGGCGAACTCGATGCACTCGTGAGGCCGCAGCTCCTCAGGCAGAGGCACATCGAAGGAGAAGGTGTCGCTGTACGAGCAGGGATACGCATCCTTCAGGTACACACAGTCCACATCTGTGTGGCTCTTCCAGCCGTCGAAGGTCACACGCAGCTTCACCGACTTCTCAAAGGACACGTTTCTGACTTTAACGGTTCCCGCCAAGGCCTTCTCTTTCAGCACGCAGTGCTCCAGGCAGACGTAGTTCCTCTCCAGGCTCTGACGGAAGCGCAGGTAGTCTGAGGAGGGCTGAGTGAAGTCCAGCAGCAGTTTGTCCTCCTCGGCCGCAGCACAGAGCGCGGGCCTCAGCAGCTCCTGGATGTTCAGAGGGATGCCGATGGGGTCGCTGAACTCTGAGAAGGTCTTCACCATGGTCAGAGACAGGCCTTGGTGGTCTGCAAACGTCACCTGTTTCTTGGCTCTTCCTGCGTTTCTGCTGCAGGCTCGGCTGTCCTCAGGCCCGGTCTGGTCCACACAGCGGGAGCGCTGAAATCTCAGGCACGAGTTCAGAGCAGGCTCGCATGTTTTGGAAGGCGTCCTGTAGACAAACTCCTCTTTGGACAGGTACAGAGGAAAAGCCATGTCGATCGGCATGGTGGGCTGCAGAGGAGACCTGGGGGGAGGATAGACAGCTGTTAGTGGTCATCAGTGAAAACAGAACACACACACATAAACTGCACTGAGACACTGAGACTAGCTCAGTGTTTCTGCTGAGGATGTGCAGCGACCAGAGGTCACAGGTCACAGCCTGCTGTCGCCCACAAATCATTAGTTGTGCTTGAAGTCTGGTGAAAATCTGAGTTCCTCTTCACGTGCACACACAAAACACTGCAAAACATCCAATGCAACCCTGAAGGTTTACAACCAACAACTACTCTATGTAGCCCTGAGATCCTGGATTCATCCGCCACTGAAAATAGTCCCCAACACATGCACTACCTCCTCCTGTTTGTTTGAAACCCCACATTACTGAAGAGCCACAATGAATGGTAAATTAACTGTTTATGTCCCTGGCACTAATATTAATAAACCAATTAACCAAGACATACAGTGAACAATGGAGAAGAAACATTCACTCCGTGTCCGCTGAACAAACAGCCAGACGCGCACGTCCCCTACTTTGTTACATGTCACGGAGCTCAGTCTCCTCACACTGGTCCCCCTGGTCGAGCCAGCTCCCCACTGAACCGGGGACAGCTTCTACCAGCCGGTGTCCCCCCCAATAACCACAGGCTGCGTTAACCACCTGGCTCACTGCGCAGACATGAACCCAAATCAAACCAGCTCCAATTTAAACTAAGGCGGGGGCCGAGCAGCGGGCAGACCACCGACAGGTCGGGGGTGGCTGAGAGAAGTTCTCACCCCAACACGTGTAACGCGCAGAGGAACCAAGCTGCTGGACGCTAATGACGAGCGGCCACTTTACCTGGAGCGGTTCCTCAGGAGCATGTGGCGGTGTCCTGGCCCTGTCCTGGCCGTGTCCTGGCGGTGACGCGCCGGCTCCTGACCACCCGCAGCTGTGAGGACGAGCCCGTTCCGTCACG